TCGGATAACCCCCGGCTCTTGGTGGGTGCCCTTCTGCCTCGACTGTTTGGGGAGAGTGGATAGAAGAGAAAAAAAAAGAAAAGATCAGCAACAAGGCAGCATAAACAAAAATCAAACACTGGGCAGGTTGATGTGGCCAGTGACTGCTCATCAAAAATATATAGCTCTAGGGCAGAAGTTAGAGGGAGAGAGGGGACACAAAGTTAATGACCTGTAATGGTGGCATACAGATGCATGGAGAGGAGAGGAACGGAACTCAGAGCATCATGGGGATCCCCAACAGTCTAGGCCTATAGCAGCATAACTAAGGGAAGGCTCAGGGTCACCTGAGCTAGCCCTAACTATAAGGTTTATGAAAAGTGAAAGTCTTATCTTAAAGGTAAAGAGGGTGTCTTCCTCCCGAACTGAGGCTGGGAGCTGGTTCCACAGGAAAGGAGCTTAATATCCATATAATCAGTTATAAAATCATCTTTATTTGTGCAAACTAATGAAACAAACTGATCTGTTACCTGCATTTACCTATAAATCAAGTCCAGACCAAGACCAGTCTTGACCTGTTAATGTAAGACCTAATTAACTAATTAAATGCTGGTTCAGAGCTGCTTCTGGACAATAAAAGCAAAAATACAGAAAGCAGGATTCTGTCAGAGCATGCAATAACAAGATGTGATCAATGATAAAAACAAAACATACTGTTTAGCATAAGTCACACTCACACCTCTCCAAAATTCTACTTACTTCACATGCTGCTGTATTAGCTTTGACTATTTAACTCTGTCTTCTTTCCCATGGTTCTTAACTTTTTTCCTGTGTCCCTTGCCAGTTGGCATTGTTCCTCCTAGAACCAAGTCCCCCACCGACGAATCACACAGCAACTATGCAGGTTCCCGGCATAATGGCAGAGTGTCCAATGGAATTTCAAGGGTATGTCAGTCTAAGCTAGATGTAAATAATATCCAAGTGTCTGTCTGTACAGTGTACACAGAGGTGTGGCCTCAAGCCTTCAAGGTAAAGATTGCGTGGATATCAGTCTGCAGTATCCAAGCATTGTTAATAGGAGCAGGTACCAGAGTTCTGTCCATATAATCACATGGTGTTAGCATTACTCATACCAATTGCCAATACAATAACTGTCAGATACACAGTATGTTCACCCGTTACATTTAAGATACACACAACATTATGATTACCTCCCAAATTTCAACTTTAATAAAAAGCATGACTGAAAAAACACATATTCAAGTAGCAGAATGATGACATTCAGATATCTGATTCACATGAAAACATCTGCAGCAAGTCAGTGAATGGCATGGAGCTTGTGCCAAAATGTCTGCAGCTTTTAGATATGAGTAGATGTTAAATGACTTTTTCCAGCCAAGTCTTTTTCCCATAATTTAAGTATTAGAAGAACCCAATGGTTCAAATCTGTATTTAAGCACTACCACAGTTATGTGCTTAAACTATGCCTAGATAACCATTACTTTTTCTTGTGATCATAAATTTAATGCACTATTATATGGGGATGATCATGGATAAAGTGATGCATATTAAACAGTTATTTGAAAATAGCAGAAAATTCAAGAGAATTTCACATCACTTATATGGTCTCAAAAATACAATTGAGGACAGCGTAGTGCTAAACATAATTGTTATGTACAGTAGGATGTGTAATGGGAAATTTATATCACCCTTTATAGTGTGACTATTACTATGTAGTTATTTTATGCAGTTATTTGTGTGCTTGTAAAACTAGACAGTTTACTGTGTCAGCATGTTGTAGAGATAAACATGCCTTTGTGTGAATGCTGAACCATATAACTTGTATCCAGTGGCGGGCCGTGCATTTCGTACCTGGGTCTTCAGTGGGGACTTACCCGACTTAATTCACCTCTTAATACCACTATAGGCTCTATTCTATTCTAAAGCCTCGTCCGGTTCTTTCAAACCAGGAACTCAGAGGGACGACTCAGACCACTTGATTATATAAAAATATAACCGTGCTGGTTTATTCAAAGAGGCACAGGCAAGAATTAACACTTCAAGTCCAGAGATCTTCCAACCCCAGGCTGCCCAAGCAGCCCGGAAGCAAAAAAGACCCCGAACCAAGAATTCCTATACAATATTAATCATTTCTGGGCTAGCCCATTCTACGCAGGGCGTCAAACCGTGACGTCACCTGATATGCCAGCTTGGCAGCTGAGCAGAGCAGTAGACCAAACATGAAGAAAATAATGTGTGTGGCTGTTGTTTTCGTGGTGTGTATCTAAAACAATTTGACATAACATTACACATTAAGACAAATATTATGGTTACTTTTACCGTCATAATAACATTCGTCCCTGACTGCCGCCTTTCTCTGATTTTAACTAACCTTGCATTTAACAGCCTGAGGAAGACATCCTGGCTGCACTAACAGTCCTAGACAACAAATCTCTGAATATCTATCTAACTAAAAAATAACCTAACAGTTCGTTGTTTTCATAATGTTGTGAGTGACATAAAGGTAATCAGTTCACTGTTAATTGACTGAGAGGGAAAATAAATGCCGGTTATATGTGTGGTTCAAATTATCTCTGTGATCTGTGATATATTCCCCCGCCGCTCCTCCTAGAAAAAGATACCTAGTCGGGTATTTGTACACGTAGGTCACAGTGTGCTAGGCCCGGGTTACATTTAGAAATCTCCAATGTGCGGGGTTTATGTGTAAAAAAGGTCCCGCTCACCTCATCTTGTGGCCGGCCAGTTAATGTGTAGAAGTGCTCACCGCTCTGACTAAACCCAGGAGGGCACTCTCTGATCAGG